TTCAGCATGCTTTTTTAATTTTAATAACACTGACTGTAAGGCTTGTAGATATTTAAATTACTTACACTGAAGAACAGAAAATATATAAAAATATTTCTGAGTGAAGAGAAAGGCCCTGGATTTTTTCAAATCTTGAGAAAAACAAATTCATTTAAGTATTTTTTTCTAAGAAAGAACCTGAATCTGCTCCCAGTGAAGTTGATGGCAATCTCCTACAGACTGCAAATGTGTTATATCAGATTCTAAATAGTAACTGCAACTGCATGCAATGAGAAAGATGACAAAATGTTACATAACAGGTTTTGTTCAGTGCATACAGTAAAGGCTGTTTCAAATTTAACTTATGTTTGTAGGAAACTCATTTTCTAGGCATACAAAACAATTTAGGTACACTTGTTTTGTATGCCATGATTTCAGCCTTTCCATCTCTTAAACCTGGAAGCAACAAAATGCAAAGATTATCAAAAATATCGTAATCACACCTGAAGCAGTTGTCCTGGCATTCGCTGCAGCATTCTTTGTCAGCAATTCATCAAGAAACATGCAGTAGAGCAATATCCAATATATTCTTACTGTGTGGGAGCATGCAGTGCTGCCTCAAAATGGAACATCCAACTGGGACTCCATCTGGCAGCTGCAAGATGGCAACAGGTAACTGGAAATAATGTTTTACTATTCAAATATAATTCTCTATACTAAGGATGACAAGCATGTTTGTTGGCACTCAGAGATTAGGGTCATGAAATGGCAGCCAATCACAACATCCTAATCAGTTTGGAAATAGAGGTAGTTTAAGCTTGCAAAGGAGTTCTTGTTCCTGTTTTAATGATAGATGGCCCTTGCAGTAACACGTCTACCAGCACCACAACAACTGCTAAGATGGGTCAAATTCTGTTTCCATTAACATTACTTTAGCTCCAAAGAAGATCCATTGACTGTAACTTCCGCTTTTAAGCTAGTCAAACTAAGAGCAGAATCTGTAAAGTTTCTAACTTTCACAATCTCATCACTGATTTAGAAAATATAAACTTGGTTGCAAATTATTGTGGCAGAGAAGATACAGGGACATATCTGAAGCAAAACAAGCAACATTCCATTAAACAAATTTTATTCTAGTGAAATTCCACCCATATTAATCTTTAGGAAGTTCCACTGGCATAAAACTGGTGTAGTGTTGTAAAGAATTAGGCTCTTCCAATGCAAATTTAATCATCTTAATAAAGTTACTTTGTAATTTGTGTTTATTTATTTAAAGCACGACCATATTCCATCTTTCATACTCATTTGGAAATATTCCTTCCTCCTAATGTTCCATGGTCTTGTTCAAATGAGGCTGTAGATGATTAGCCAGGCTACCTAATAGGAAAATGGAATATATTCTTCTCTTTCATTTAGCTTTCATCATGGAAGTGAAGGGGGGCCGGGGGGGGGGGGGGAAAGAAGTTGGGAATCTCTACTGTAGACTTGCCAACCATGCAGATCAAAGGAATGGTCTTTTCTTCTTCTTCTTCTATTTTCTTTTGTTGAGACATGATTTTATGCAAAATTGCTACCGACTTCTACCCTGTAGAAGTGGGCAATATAATTTGACCAAGCACTACTAAAGAGTTTAAGCTTTTGCTTTTCCTGCACCAAATGTTGAATGTCATTTTAATCCTATGACTGGTTACTGTAGCAGGAAAAAAAGAGGTTAAAAGTTTAACTTATTCAAGACAGTCCTGCATTTCTTACTCAGGCAAAACTTCCACTAAATCATTTTGAGCTCTTCCTGAATAAAGAGGGCTGTATTGGGTCCTACCTGTCTAAACAGGACAGTATTTTATATACCATATTTTTAAATAATTTTATGCTATTTCATTCTATTTTATCCCTGTATTACTTGATATCTAAAATGGGACTCAACAGCAGCATTAGTCTCATATCATTATGTACTGACAAAAATGTTTTTGTTTGTACTCACAGAGAATGGAAAGAAAACTACATTGCTTATTAATATCTACTGAATTGTTTAAGAGGATTTTTAAGATACAAGTTAAAAGAATTTCATAATTTCAATTTCTCCTTTTCATTTAATAGTAGACATTCATTAGGACCCACACACTGTAATAAATTATAATAATTTCAAACAAGAATTAAATTACTAGGTACCTACTGAAAGAGCCATTTTTTCTTAGGTACCCTGTAATCTAACTGTCAGATTTAAAATCTATTCCCAATCAACTCTTCACAACATTCACATTTATTCATCTATGTTAAATTAATAAAAGGTGTGAATAATACTGACAAAATTGATCATTATTGTTCATGTAGATTTAGAAAATTATAAGGTAATCTAAAATGTAAAAGGAATTGAGGGAAACTATTAAGGTTCTTATAAATAAATTCATCCTATGCTATATTTTTTAACTCAAGAAAGAAACTTCGACAAGACTTATTTAAATTGACTACAGAAGCTACTTGATAAATTGTACATTTTAGAATATAACCCACTTTCCTTTTTTTATTTAAAAAAAACTATTAAAAGTTGACAATGGCTACTATGCAAGATGAGACTTCATCTAAAATATGGAAAAGTAATGTTGAAACACCACCAAACACCAGGTTGAATACAGCCTGATCCTGGGAGGACCTGAGCACCTCCTGAGAGGTGCTCAGCATGTTCTAGTCCCACTGCACTGAAGTCAATAGGAATTGAGGTCATTCCAAATCTCCAAGGATCAGGATTTTACTAGAATTTGAAAAACAAAAAGTACCTCTTTCTCCATGTATATAAGCGTGAGAAAGAGCCACATTTTTCATAGGATTAAAGACAACACAATCATCTTGCCTTATGCATAGATTTATTACCAGTTTACCTATCAAGAGTAACCACTACATATTTTTGCATCCCTACACAAAACCTAACACAATCTCTACAGTAAGCTATCTTGTCCTTTGCACATTTGCCATAATTCCTACCATCTAACCTTGCTGACCCTTCTCCCCCTTAACTGGGATCCCTGCAGATAAAGCAAAGCATGTCAACATCTGTTCCCATTCACACCGATTTTAATTTACAAAAAGAGCTTTGCTATTTTCAGAACAGGCTCCAGAGCACAATGACAGATTTAGGGCCTTTAATGGGGTTGCATTTCTAGTGTCAGCATTTCATACTCACTACAACTATATTCTAAGGGATTGCATCATGGGTTATAACCAGGGGGTAGCAGCCACATTAAAGATGTTTTCCTCACTATAGCCTTGTTTTTCAATAACAAAGGTTTAATGTCATTTCATGAACCTAAGGTGGCCTCTTGACCAAAAATCAGTGGTTCCAGAGCACTGGTATGATTTCCTTCATTCTACCAATTGCAGGTATGTGTATTCCTTCTACGAACACACACCTTTCCATTTCCTGCCCTTTAATATTTAAGGATGGGATTTTCAAGAGAGCTTACTGTTAGCTTCACCCGATTCCTATAGAGGATCCCTCCCACTGACTTTAATGAGAGCAGTTAGACCAATGCTGAGTGATTTAAAAAATGCCACCCTAAGTTTCTCCCACCGCTTTGCCGTCTACCAATTGTTGCAATAACTAAAACACCATTTTCTAAATATATTCCTTGGAATATATTTGCAGACTTTCTCCTCCCAGCAAAGTCAATGAAATTGCTCATCCTTACCGCAAGCTTGTGAAGTACGAAGACCAGAAATAGCAGGAGAGTTTCAATGTCACACATAATCCAAGCACGATTGTTTCACAGTAGTTCAAAATAAAGTTTTCTGCCACTTTGAGAGGGTTTTTTTGGTTTTTTTTAAAGATATACAGTATGTAGAACAACTTGGAAAAACAATGCACAAGTTGTGTTGTAATCACATAACAGCTAAGACACGAGCAGCTGAGCAGAAGGAAGATGGGCAATGGAATGCCATACAGTAATCAGCACTGTTGACTAATCAGAATTTGAGACACTAGAAGGTAATAAGGGTATTATAAAGAATGGCTTATTGAAGGAGCAGCTGTTTATGTGTAGCTCACTGTTTAAATGAGTTCCACTAAATTGCCATGGTATGTTTTGGTGAAAATGTTTCACTCTTTTAAAAATGATCTTAAGAACAGGAACAGCAAGCACTGAGTAAACGGCAAGTATTTGGATACCAGAACACCAAGTACAGTTACAGAAGCAGTTATCTGAGTGTTTGAAACCTTTAAAATGGCATAAATTTAGTGGTCCTGTAAGTTACAAAAGAATATTCATTACTTGGGGAAAGCCTAAATGTCATCTTTGTTAGCCTACCCTCCACCACCGAGTGTTGTTGCCATGGGCACAAGAGCTGAGGTGGCTATGAAGGGTAATAGAGACAAGGATCTGAGGAAAAACCAAGGGAAAGTATAACTCAAAACAACTATTGAGCCATTTTAGGGGATCTGTATTTGTACCACCAGCCAATAAACACAATAAACAAAATGTACTTAATTTAAAAAATAAGGCAATTTTAACATCCCTCAGCACAAACATGCTAACAACAACAACAAAATGCAACAAGCTCAAATAGGAAAATCTAATTAAATAATGTTAAAACATCAAAAACCAAAAACAATATTGAAAAATCACAACACTGAAAACAGACAACTCACCATAATTCTCAGACAATAACCATCTTGTTCGAATCTATTTGTCATACAGTTGTTCAACAGATTTATTTTTTTTTGAGTGGGGGTTGGTTTTTTTCAGGAAACCAACTTCTGGTTTTGTTTCCAAAAACATCTACGAACTGTTTGGAGCATGAAGGAGACTGAGTAATACTACTGAAAAGTTATCATAATACATTATTTAAAATATTCTACTTTGGACAGCAAGGGCTTAGTAATATTTAAAAGCAGTCAGCAAGCAGTGGAAACTCTGATATCTTTTGTAACAGTTCACATGTCAAACTGGCAAAGTGCCCACAGTGTACGGCAGAAAAATCTATTTAATGTCTGCCCCACAAGGCGACATGAGGCTTGATTGGCAGAAAGCAGAGAGTGGCTTTTGATCATGTGTCCTAACAAGCAGTTCCAGCTCCTGTCTCTTCGGCTGAACGGCTCCACATTACCTATTCAAACAGAAGTGACAGGCCACTGCACTACTCTTTGGCTCTAGTCTCACACAGTGGGAGCTATGCTGGAGACAGAGCCACTGATTAAATATATCACTTTTTCAAGACAAGCAGGTTGTCTGAATCAAAGTTGGACAGAATAGACTCAACATTATTAAAAGAGGATATAAAACTGGAGTTGAGTGATGTTAGGCCAGTTTGTACAGCCTCAGGGATTCACAGACTGACAAGGGGAATAAGGAACAGCAGAACTCATAAAGCAAGGTCAGAAATTAGCTGTGACACCTTGGCCATTTTCCCATCACTTCAGGGCCACTGTGTTTCAAATCCTGTAGTCCCTTTTTGGCCTTTTTTAAATGATTTATTAAGGGGGGGGGGGGGGAGTGGAAAAAGCATGACTAAGGTAGGTTACAAATTGCAGTCTTAATAGAAATGAAACATTGCATCCACTCTGCAGCATAATAATACAGGGTTATCTTATTAGGTGGGTTCTTTCTGTATTCTCATCAGTGAGTGAGTGAATTACAAAGATGCTATCAACATTTTCAATGCCAGCATAGTAGTCATAGATATTGCTACACACATCGAGAAACGTGGAGGGGGGAGGTAGAGGGGATTAAATAGAAATGTTTATTAAATCACCTTTTCTGTTCACTAATAATTTGATTTGATTTTTGAAGTTGCATATCTAGCCACAATTAGTTGTATGTTTTGATATTTAGACAAAGCTACACAGTAAATAAAATAGCTTATTTAGATGTTATCCCATAGAAACAATAGATACACTAAAACATGCAGAAACAAATCTTCCAAGCGAATTATTAATTACGTGGCTAATTAAAGATATATCAAAACCTATTAATAAAGCTGCAACAAACAAATTTACACAAACAAAAACAGAAGCGGTTCACAGAGAAAAGTGAGAATCAAAAACAAAGACAGCTTCTTAGAATAAAGTAGCAAGTTAAGACATTAGGTCTTAACCACCCTTTCTGATCCATTCAAAATTCTCCATAAAATATTAAAATAATGGTGCAAATTGTATAAGAATCCTGGCAGAGTTGTTCCTGGGGTAACTCTATTCAAGTAACAGAGTCATTCCAGGGATGAATTTGGCATGGTTTATATATATATTTCACTGCTGCAAGTTCTTTTGACATTTTATCAAACCTCTGCCCTTTGTGTTAGTTTTTGTTTCACTGTAAATATTTAATGGCAACCTGCTTGTTACATATTTGAGATATGACAGGGAGTGTTAATGCCTGTACTAAGAGTCAGAGATACTGTAAATATCAGACACAGGGGCAAATTCAAAGACAGAGGGCCAAATTCTGCCTTGTTTTGCACCAATGCACCCTAAACAAATACAAATACTGGTTGTAAATGAGAGTAATTCGGCCTAAATATTTTCTGTGATACTACTAGGAAGCTGTACATAGGTGGATAAGTTCTCAGTAACATTTTGGCATTACAGGGTCTCCAACTTGTCATGGTCATAAATGCTACTTTGTGTAAAATACTCAATTTGCTTTCACATGTTTAATCAGGCAAAATGCAAAACACGAATACACCTTCACATTCCTTATGGGTTAAGTGAAGATAAAGTTCACAGCTCAGAAAGTAATGGCAGTCACATCAAATTAGTTGAGAATCCCATGCAAACAAAGCAGGTGATTGAAAAATGTAATGTGATAGCAATGAGTTATAACAAAGAGCAAATCTTTATTCTTTTTTTCTCCAAAGCATAAGTAAAATAATGAATTTTAAAAAATGAAAAAGAAAGTAAATAATTGCTTAGATATAGGGCACCATGCCCAGAAATATGTGGATAACTAACCAGTATAACTAAAAATATATTATGATTAATAAAAAACAACAGTTATTTAATATATTCCAGAATGTTATGCTGTAGAACAGCACATTTTGGCATGACTTTGCATGATTGGCAGTTTATACTAAGGAGCAGCTCAAGACTGCAATAGTATAGGTGTTTTTGGTCAGGACTGAGATATATTAACAGACTTCTCTGGGGTTGTTTACAGTGTGTGTGCCTATCCTACTGTACCTGAAGAGGGCTATAAGGCTCACCTTTCTATAAAACCGCCACCTTCACTTTGCAAAGCCACCACTTCACAATGTTACTGAAGGAATATAAAAAAGGGAGGATTCTGATAATACACGTCTATTAACTGTCGTTTGATTTTGGTTATGTTTTGGAACTCAACATGCCAATGAGCATATAAGGAAGATGCCTGATTACATACAAAGATTTAAAAGATTCATCACAATCCAAGCATGCTTATGCAGCACAGAAAAAATTAGCTCAGAGTACTGAACTTTTTTTTTTCTGATTTTTATGTTGTGTTCATTAGTAATACATTGGCAGATCAAAATACACATGCAGGGCAAAGTCTGAAATACAGATTAGTGGAGCTCATTCAGGACTTGCTCCTGATCTTACTGAAGTCAATGACAAAACTCCATTGATTTTAGGAGTAATAGGTCAGGCCTACATTGCACCATTAAGGGCCGTAATAAGATGAATAAATAGACACACTGAGTCCAAGCAAACTCCACTGAAGTAAACTTAGTGAGGTGTGTTTATTCTCAGGCTGAATCTGGCTAATATACTCAGAAGAAGAACATTACTGTTAACGAACTGAGCTGGATTCTATTATAATAAACTAAATCTTTCCTCATGAAAGAGGTGTATTCTAAAACCACATTTCTCCCTCCCCCCTGTAGCATTGTGACATTACATATTTCAACTAAAATTCTCCTTGTTTCTCCTCCTGAATCTTACACAATCTTCAAAGATGTTTTAGTGCTATTAAAAACCACCTTTGTAAAATTATAAAAAAAGAATTAGTTAATTAATTTTATCCAAAGCTTAATTGCTTTTAATAATACACAAAAGTGTATTATTCAGCTGATATTGAATGGATTTGGTTTCCTTAATGTAAAATTTGTTTGGGGTTAATTAGCACGGCTGAGGACTAATCTTAATCATTTTATGTTGTTTACACTGGAGGCAGTTTTCCATGATCCTGCCAGCCAGCATCGCTCACAGAGGAAGTGGCATCTTGTAGTTTCAGACTAAAACACAGAGGTGAGAGCAGCTGCTCTCTCTGCTCGCTAAGCTAGGCAGCCTAAACATATAGCTGCCTCCTTCAGCCAAGTAGCGAATGCCTCTTTATTTCACGTAGCAATATAAAGTTGTCAAAATTATTTTTTAAGGAATGATAAGGTATCTAAACCAAATATTGTACAGGAAATAGGGAATATATCAACATTTAAAATGTATACAGCACTGAGCATTTTTACTGTCGTTTTTTTAAGAAAAGCAGATCTAATTAGTTGTATCTCTAAAGTGCGTACCTAGCATTTTTATTATGTATTATAACATTTTGCTTAGAGCTGACATTTTTATTCTGACAAGCACTGTCTGGAGAGCTCTCAATAAATAATACATTTACAATTTTCAGTAAATAAGCAGTGGACACAAATCGTTATCCTTACTTACAGCTGCCCCTCTCTAATAGTGCTTTTACAAGTAAGGTGACTATTCAGTCTAATGCAATACTCTCAGTGCTGGAAAGATATTTTCATTCATTATCACGGTCACAAGCACTTAAAGCACTTTTAGGCCCTGTTGCAAAACAGGAAACCTGAGGTTGTTCACCTAAACAACTTGAAAATTTACTTGCATAAGGGTTGATATAAACTCTGCTGAAGTCCTAGAAAGGATAAAAATGTGGTTTTCTTCAGAGATCTTCATATTAAAGATTATCAAAACCCCTTTATACTACAATTATGAAACAGTCCATGGTATTAATTTCCTAAATCAAAACCTGACTATAGTGTGCACTGATCATAACATTGTTTGCTTTACAGTACATTAGAAACTGCAATGAAGTTTGAATGTAGTTATCTACTGCCAAGTCCACACAACTGAAGCAGCTTTGCATATTTTTATGTCTGTTAATAATGTCCTTAGCCACGGAGACTGATTTTCTTTCATTTGCACCCACTTATAGTGAACTTGTCCTTTCTAATTTTTAAAAAGGAAGAGTTAAATGTATTTTCTTATTTGCTCTGCTGCTTATGATATACCAGAAGGCAGATCACATATGGTATGTCTTAATACCATATATTATATGGTATGACAGAAACTAGGCGAGTGTGCTATAGTAAATCACATATGAAATAGTACTTGATAGAAAAGCTGGTATATTTTATTGTACAGTCAAAATTGTGCAATTATATCTGCCTAAGGATGGCATCAGCCTAAAGAGGTTTAGTGGGGCTCCAGACATAGGATGTTGAATCTGGAGGAATCGGGATTGAGTCTGGGAGGTAGATTCACTGGGGAGGCACAGTTTTGAAGAGCCAGGAGATGCAGGTATTTAGTGGTTTCAGACTTGACTCAGCTTAATGTATACCTGTCTACAGGGCTGTATATAGATTAAGATCAAGACTAACAGAAAAAAAGCCATGAGTCCTAGTAAAAAGTAGTTTAATCCTTGCGTGTGTTAAGCTCTGGGTAAATATAGCTCAGGTAAGGAGCTAAAATGGTGAAGGTGAACACACCACAACAAATCCTCAAAAATTTAGCAAAGTTAAAAGAGGTGGCCCAATCTGCAACATTCAAATCTGAATTTCATATAAAATGATTTGATGGTCTCAGTGCAGCTCCCAGCAGTGAGCTATAGCATAACATTTACTGTACCACTGACAGTTACTGGCATCCTTCTTAGTATTCCTGGATAACAGCTAAGTAGTAAAAAGCAACAGAAACTAAAAGTACCTCTTCACTTTTCAGAATATCTCAGAGCACAGTGAAAAAGTCTGAACTGCCCCAGTCTGAGCTGTACCAGTTCTGTGAACAAAGAAAACTAGAAAGAATGTTTTCTGACAGCTATCAGCAGAAGAGAGACTCTGAAGAATACTGAGGAATTACTGCTGGTTCTAACCCATATGAGACCTAATGGCATGCACTTATGTGCTCAGCTAGTACTAGAATGCGTACAAGAACCAGGAGAAAAACCATAAGATGGACAGACACGCAAGGTAAACAGAAGGTGGATGGCTGACACGATACACCAGACATTCATAAAAAAGGTGAGATATAGTTTGGTTATGGAGATGGTTGCTCTGAAGTATTTTGAGTAAGTATACAGAAAACAAAGAAAAGAGTCAACGTTGCATCAATCATCTTTTATGCATTCCCAAGGATGCAAAAGAAAAGGGAAAATACCAGAAGAGAAACTGCTCTGGATCTATTTCCTATTAATATGGAGCTAACTAAGGTAATTGACTGCTTTGTTCTAATTTCACACAATTACTTGAATTCGACTCTTGTAAGACGTATTCAACAGAATATAACTATACATCAAGAAATGAAGATTAAGAAAGTGTAATATCCACATGCAAGGGACAAGTCTGGAGATTTGTCTAAACACTGTAAGAAGAAAGTAGTATTTCTCCAAAAAGTAAAAACAAAAAGGAATGGAAAGGAGTGGTCATAAGAGGAGGTCTAACCGGTACAAAAATTGACTAGAGAGAGCCAAGTTAAGGCATGCTGCCAAGAGGTAAGCCATGTAGAAACCCCAAATGTAAATCACAGGAAAAGTATGTTCTGTCCCTTTCCCCAGCATCTGTGTGGGCTACTTAGATTATGAGCTGGATGCATACAAGCATTACATTTAGATCATTCTAACCAGGCTTAGGGACATATAAATGGCCAGGAGTGCAAGCGCTGACACGGCTTAGGTTGTCCTAAAAATGGCATTCTTGATCTAAAGTTACTTCTTGTCAGACAAGAACTAACTTTAGAACACTTGCATGGGTCCTAGGCTGGGTAAGCTCAGCCACTCTTCACAGCCCCATGGCTGTGCTGTTTTTACACTCCTGCCCCCCAGCCACAACCAGCATACTCCTAGATCAGGCAGCATCCCCTCCCACCCTCTCCCCATGGACCCACTACCTGCCCAATCCCACTAGCCACCTTTCTGCCCCTGACTTACTCGCCTCTGATTGCCCATGTGAACACTTGCATGTGGCGGAACCTGACTAAGGTTTAGGAGGCTCAAAGTAAGTCACCTAACCTAAGCAGGGTCTTCTGAACACTTTGCACCCTAAGGAGGTACAGTTCCTAGCACAACAGGACCTATTCTTAATTGATCCTTAGGCTCTATCAGAATATAAAACAACAAAAAATAGAAACTTCTACAAATCCAGCACATTTGATAAAAAAGAATACTAAAAGGAAAAAGGCTCATTTCTTAGAAGAGAGTCCAAATCAGCTGTGACTATATAAGAGCTGAGTGACAGAAGTGTTTTCTTCAGATGATCTTTTAAAGAAAAAAAATTAAGAGGCTGTTGATACACTGTCAGTAAATAAAGGAAAATCTTGACAGTCCAGCTTTTGTTAAATGGCAGGTTATAGTGAACGTATAGCATCCGTGTGTGGATTCAAGGACATTTTCTAACAAATTTTGGTCCTGGTCATGAACCACTAATGACAGTGGGAATGTTGCCACTGTTGTCAATAGCCTCTTGATATGCTATCACCAGTTATTTTTGAAAATTCATGGAGAAGGGAGCAGGTATTGTATGGCAGATGTTAAAAAGTATTTGAAGGAGACTGAGCCATGAAATTATAAGCCTCCAGAAGAAGAACCATCCTCTGTAATGGGTACAGTGCCTGGTATAGCAGAACCCCCAGTAGCTGGCTGGGGCTGGTAGGAGCCACTATCTACAAAAAAGCAATATAATACATTCCTGGCCCTTATTTCAAACTACAGTAAAATTACAGGAAAAAAATCTATTCAAATAGAAAAATATCTTTAGTCACTCAGAAAATCATGGGGCCCATAAGAAGAAAGAGCAGGGAATTTTAAATGTCAAATGATTTAATACAGGCATTAACTATGCCTTATTCAGTGGAAACTTTGAGGTGGGAATGTGGAGGAGACAGAATGTAATTGCCCAACCGGAATTCAAGCTAGACAACAGTCTTGAGAAATGTTCAGGAGCATTTTTAATGCCTTTAAGTAGCCAGGAACTCAATTCTGTGTTTTGATCCAAAAAGATGAAAATATCCTCCATCATAATGGCCTCTATCATTACACTGGAATAACACTTCAGTATTAACACAGGAAAATGAATACCACCAATTCAGTCATTGGAAATCTCCAAAAACAAATGGAGTAAGATACTGTATTTACTCAAATCTGGGATGGAAGTTTTTTTCCCCAAACAACACAGGGAAGGGAACCGTTATCATGGATTGAAGTACTGGCCAAGGCAGGTGCCAGCTCAGCTCTGGCTTCAGCCCTGAGCTTGAAGCCTTCCCCAGGCCAGGGTGGCTCATGTGCAGGGGACAGGACTCACTGCCAGGGGAGTATGAGGGAAACCTCACAGTGGGAATGGAGGAGGAGTGCAGGGGAGACTCCCCCCATATAGCTTGGGAGGAGACCATTCAGTCTGCCCCCTACCAGTGCCAGTTCCTCATGGCTTGCTTCCCTCCCCCAGCTTACATTCTGCTCCAGCTCCAGCCCCTTCAGTCCTTATCTGGCCAGGCCCACAGCTGCCACCACTATTTCTGCCTGGCCAGGCAGGGCTGGGGCCAAGCCAGGGCCACCACTGCTGCCTGCCTTAGAGTCAAAGCAAAACAGAGCAGCGGGAGGTAAATGTGGGGGAGGCATGGTGCAGGGAGTGAGGGTACAGGCAACCAGGGAGAGCAGAGAGTTGGGAGCAGGACGTGGAGGACAAGCACAGACATGGGGGAACGAGAGGGGCAGGTGCTATGGGTCAGACACATGGGTGGGGACAAAAGGCACAGGGGCAGATGGCAGCGGGCATGTGGCAGGGGCAGGCAGCAGGAGGGCAGAAACAGAAATGGGGCAGGACATAGGCAGCAATGGGGCAACATGGCAGGGGCAAGTGACAAAGGGCAGGCAAGGAGGGCAAAGGACAGAGGGTCATGGAGGTCTGGCTCCTCACCTCCTACCACTGCTTTCCCCACCACGGTTGGCGGGGTGGGGGGCAAATTTAACACAACCTTCCACTAATTAGATCCTACACATGTAAAATTATAACATTTCTAATTTTCCATGTATAGAATGAATTACTGGGGGGGATCATCTTAAATTCAAAGTTGTCTTGGATTTGGGTAAATATAGCACTTGTCCACATGCATTTGGAAGCTGTGAAAAATAATTACTGATGAAAAATGTTTGGGGAAACCAAGACAATAAGCCTAGAAATTTAAGAACAAAACCAAACAAAGGAGTATTTCCACTAAGAGTGGGGACAGGTATTACATTCCTGGCAGAAGAAACGTCAATATGCTAGAAACTATGTAAAGAGGAAGCAGTTCAAAACAAGACATAGAAGGCTGTGGGAATGGCTCTCAAGAAACACGATGGAAGCCCTGTTCCTTGAAACTGAACTGAACAAGCCATCATGGCTATCCTTTCGGATCAATCCTTTATTAAGCTGTGGAAAGATGAACACAGGGTAAAACTGAAACTCGTCTGTCACTCTACATGGTATACTGTAGAGAGATATTTTGCAAATCAAGCTTATGCTTAAACCTACAATTAAAATGTAACACCAAAATTTTAGTAATAGACCCCAGTGTATGCACAAATGTGTTTGTGTAATTTCCAGTGGGAAGTATGCTCATACTTTGCACTATTACGTATGACTTTTTGTTTCATTTTATTCTGTTTTTATCTGTTTTGTAGGAGGCTTTGAATTTTTACCAGCGAATGAAGGCTCATGGGATAGAGTTAAAAAACATAAAGCATGTTGCAGATTATGATCTTCTATGTTTATAAACTCACTATTGTGAGTGTGTGTGTAAACAAACAAGTATATTAAATACAAATGCTTCATTTGTATTTATGTAGACATATGTATAAGTCTATGTTACACATGCACATGCACAGTGACAGAGTGATCCAACAGGCACATTTGGCAGATCATGAATGGGAATGCATATACCACTGTTTATACAGAGGTATTTCTGCATGCAATTTAAAAACTCTGTTTTTAGCATGCTCAACTGTAGTCTTCAGTGAGGAAGCAAATGTGGGAAGCAGTTTATAAAAAGCTTGCGTTAGAATCTTGAACTGAACTTTGTTGAAAAATGATACAGTAGCAGAATCAAGGTCAAAAGTGAAGTAGGAATACAGGATCTGAGTAATGAGGGCTTAGCACTTAGCAGAAATGACATGTCCAGTCCCATGTTCGGGAGTGCCAGCTGACCTGCCATCCTAGCTTTCCATATCTATAGAGCTGTGCTGTCATGAGCTCTAAAGGAAGGAAATCTGCTCCCCCAGCTACAGACAAGATGTGTATGACTAATTATTGCCTGTACAGGCTTAGGATGTGGTATAGTAGAATGGCTGGCTGGAATACAGTCCTCAACCTAGCAACTACACAGATGATGAAATGCAAATATATATTAAATGAGGAATACAATATTCAGGAGGAACCTTCTCTCACTGAAGAGGAACAACGTGAGTTTGAACACTGTACTGAACATGCACACTCTTCTTTTGAGCACTGCAAAGAAAATCAATAGTTGATTTCACTGGAAGTGACTTTAAAAGGAAAAGGCCAATAAAAAGCCGCTTCCCAAACACATTTCCTTGTGCAGAAAAAATAAGAAGAATGAGACTAGTGAAATTACCAAAAATGGCTTAATTTTTTGTGTTGCTCAGTAAAGCTAGATATCTGACCTTTTTAGGAGATGTGTTAGCAAAATCTTCATGTAGCCCTCAATTAATTTAATTATAAACAATCAAAAATATCCTTTTATTTTTACATTTAAATTTGTTCATGTTCATGTTTTCATTTCTAAATCATTACAAATTAAGACACTGGGATGTCTTAACACAAATGCTGGATTGGGAAATCAAAACATATTATTCAGTGTTGCTGGAACTACATGTAACTCTAGAAACTGACCCAAGTACATTTAGTCCCATATGAAGCATTTATATATGTGGTATAATACACAGGGCATGATATTGGGTGAAGCACTATTATTAAAGAGAGATTAAAACAGCTGTACATTATGCTGAAGCACTCACTCTTTCCTTTACAAACAGACGGTCCTGGATTACAAGCAGCACTTGACCATTTAAATCACTACAACAACCAGATTTAACCAGCTGGGCCATATTCTCTTAGGCAATGCCTGTTGACCTCCTCAGTCGCAGCTGCTCAAATGAAATTCTCATTAGACAACTTATTTTCGGAAGCCAAAGGACTCTGATTAAATATATTTATTTAGCCATGATAAAGTCTTTAAATGTGTATTCATTTTCTCACAATTACCAGTTGTGGTAGAGACCAGATATCCTGTATGACTGACACATACACACTATATCTCTATCTATATCTACATATAGATAGATATCGATATAGCTAGATCTATCTATATCTATCTATATAAATTGTGTGTATGTATCTATATATCTATATCTATCTATCTAGATAGATATAGATACACACATACACACGCTATAAAGTATGAAGTGATCACAGTAGTGGTTCTCACTAACCCTAGCTCATATCCCACTGAGGGACCAAACATTTAGTCAAGTACTCCTAGGGGGAAGTACTTGTTTAATGGCTTCAGCCAGGGGATTTAAAAAGAAGGAGCTCTGTATTCTGTTCCCAACTGTGAAACTGACTTGCTCTATGTCCTTGTCCTAAATCATCCAAAGCCACCAGTCCACAGATGGTGGGATTAGGAAAGAGGCCCTCATACCTAACTTTCTTTCCCTGTGAAGAAATACTATTCATCCACCTCAAGGGAATGATGCGAACTTCATTTGTTCTGAAGTGTTTTTAGAATCACATACATAAAGTGCCATAGAATCTACATAGGAATGAGCAACAGAAAAAAAAAAGTCTGTTCTACATAAACATAATTACATTATACTAGCTATTCTTTATAGTAATTAGTAATTGATAGGCTGTGGCTTTTGAATTTTCTGGAGCAGAAGTCATTTTCTGTTTGAGGCTATGAGCCTTACAAAGGCCACTCTGGCAGCCTTGGCTGAATGCTGTTTCAGAATAACTCTCTGAATTCTAAACAAGTCTATTTTGAGGGTTTCTTGCTGAAAAATGAAGCTGTTAGCCCATCTATACTAAGGCTCTTGGTAGGGTGGGTTAATAGAAAGAGACTTTTCCAAATCAAAACCTTTTCTCTCACTTAGGCACCCATTTGTAGAACTGACTCAGTACCAGCATGAGATCCACCTCATCCACTGGTAGGTTCTAGCACATATTAAATGGGGTTTTTTTTCAGTGAATGCATATGTGGAAAGATACAGATGTATGGCATGGGTAGCCTATTTGACTTTCTTTGTCTTTTAGGTAAACTTTTGAGTGCTACACTGAGCGTTCTGCTACATCATATTCACAGATAGTCCAACCTGCCACAGAAAGTACACTGATATTTTCACTGAGCAGCTGCATGGCAGAGTCATCAATGCGGGATCATGCATTAGATACTATTGCGCCTTACTGCTGGTACAGGGGAAGCTCCCACAGTTGGGAACCCCCTATGTTGATGGGACTCCACCTGCAGGGTCACCCCATGCATCCTGCAGCTGGGAGACCATAGAATCATAGAAAGTGAGGGTTGGGAGAGACCTCAGGAGGTCTTTCTAGTCCAACCCCTGCTCAAAGCAGGACCATCCCCAACTAGATCATTCCAGCCAAAGCTTTGTCTAGCTGGGTTTTGAAAACCCCCACGGATGGAGCTTCCATCACCTCTCTGGGTAACCTGTTCCAGGGTTTTACTACCCTCCCAGTAAGAAAATTCTTCCTAATATCTAACCTAAACTTATCTTTCTGCAACTTCAGACTTGCTCCTTGTTCTGTCATCTGTCATCACTGAGAACAGTCTAGCTCCATCCTCTTTCAAACCCTTCTTCAGGTAGTTGAAGACTGCTATTAAGTCTCCTCTCAGTCTCCTCTTCTCTAGACTAAATAAGCCCAGTTCCCTCAGTCTTTCCTCAAGAGTCATGTCCCCCAGCCCTCTCACCATTTTTATCATTCTCCGCTGGACTCTCTGCAATTTCTCCACATCCTTTTTGTAGTGGGGGGCCGAAAACTGAACACACTCCTCTAGATGTGGCTTCATCAGTGCTGAACAGAGAGGAATAATTACTTTCCTTGAACTACTGACAACAAACCTACCAGTGCAGCCCAGTATGGCATTAGCCTTCTTGGCAATTAGGACATGATGCTGACTCATAGTCATCTTATTGTCCACTGTAATCCTCAGGTCCTTTTCTGCAAAGCTGCTGCCCAGCCAGTCAGCTCCCAACCTGTACTGGTGCATGGGATGGTTCTGCCCTAAGTGCAGGACTTTTCACTTGTCCTTGTTGAACCTCATGAGATTCGTTTTGGCCCAATCCTCCAATTTGTCTAGGTCACTCCGAATCCTAGCCCTACCCTCCAGGGTATCTAGTACTCCCCCCAGCTTGGTGGCACCTACAACTTGCTGAGGGTGCACTCTATACCATCTTCCAGGTAACTGATGAAGACACTGAACAAAACCAACTCCCAGACCAACCCCTGGGGGACTCCACTTGATACCAGCTGCCAGCTAGACATCTAACCATTGATTACTACTCTCTAAACCCAATGCTCCAGTCAGTTTTCTATCCACCTTACAATCTATTCCCCCAGCCCAATACCACACAGCTGCCAAGACCCAGAGTCCCACAGCTACAGACTCTGAGTCCCAGCAGCCGTGGGGCAGTGCTGGGATCCAGTATTCATCAGCTCCAGGACTCTCAACCCTGGCAGCTGTGGGGTGCTGCTGCAATCTCCCAGCCCCAGGTGTATGTAGGGTGCCTTGCAGCTGCAGTCTCCCAGCCATGGGGTCACTGCCTACATGTGCAAATTAAAGCTGGATAGAAACCAGCTATAAAGTTATTACACATTTTTTAGCATTAACTTTATAGCTAGTTGTATCTTTTAAAAAATAGTTAATTTTCACATGTAGCCACTTTAAATTTATTGTGCAATACCAGGTAATTGTGTAATAACTATAAGGTGTAGAGGGGGCCTTACTTTTCTATAGTTACTGACTGGAAAACTCAGTGCAAACTGATGCCAAATAATTATTCCTTGTAAAAGGCAAGCAGTCATTTTCTACTGAAGAAGCTGAATAATGTAAAAATAATTTTACATGAAGATACGGTCAGCCACATCTGCATGAATAAAGAGGCTTTAAAATAAGCAGCTTTCTAATATAATCTGTTTTACAAAAGTCAAGTTTTTATAAATCATGCAAACACTCTTCTTCATTTGGTGAGAATATATAACATGGAGGACTCTTAAATTCAGTAAAGAGTGGTTTCTTTCTTGTGTAAGTATCTCTCTTAAATCTAATCAACTCCAGCATATACTAATAAAGAAGGACAGAAAAGATACCCAAATAGCACGACAAGAAGCCAAGGAGTGCTTAAACCATCTTAGTGAAATATTATCTTTAAACTTTTTGATGTACATTTCTATTAACACTTCAATGTACTCTTGGAAAAGTTTTAGCTGTGGTGTCACTATGATCAACAGCAACTTGTAAACTCCAGCAGCAGGCATAAGCCAAGAAGCATGGATTAGCATGTAGTGCTGAATGACTGTTATCTGACTGTAAAAAATAACTTTGCCAAAGTAAAATTTAAAATAGTTCCCTCTTCTAGCCATCAAATCTAAGAAAGTGATTTTTAAAAGAATGATCTTTTCAGCTGAAAACAGACAGATGGTTCTCAAAAATCTGGGACGTTCTTTCTCTGGAGATGCTTCACCATCTTAGGAAAGGACACCTAGAGAACATATTTAACTATGTGCCTGGCATTTAAAAATTATGCCAAGAAATATGAAAATCTTCATAAATCTACCTATTTCCCTCTATATATTTTCACTGTATTCAAACACAGTGTATTAGTATCAATCTTAATGAAATTTTGTTTTACTACATGAACACAAGGCATTCCACAATGTAACTTTTAAAACAGGTGAGGCAAATGCTCAAGTCCTGGGGCATGTCCTGACAAACACACACATGCAGGGGCATGCATTTCCCATGGGACAAATAGCAGCAGCACATATTTGTGCCATTGCTATTTGTCCCAGGGCATGCCCCTGCCTGAGCACTCCGGGGCACATCAAATTAACCTGGGTCAGGCAGGGGAGTCTTGGACCATTACCTGTGCTGGCTCCAGCAGCCCTACCTAGGTCTTGAGGGCTTCTTTTGACACTGGGATATCCTGGTGTAAAAAAAACCCCACCGCACTGAAAATTAGCAGCACGGTGAATGGATGAATGTGCACCACATGCAGTTTGAGGTGCCACAAATGTATTTGAGCAAGAGGAAGGGGAAAATAAACCTTTCCCAACCCCAAGTGGCAACCAGCAAAGACCAGAAACAGGAAATATGACCAGTATAGCAAAGGCATAGCTAATCTTAGATCATCCCTGACCAGTGCTTATCTAACTTCTAGAACACCTCCAGATGATACAGATCAACTTCCCTAGGCAGTCTATACCACCGTCTCACTGTTCGAACTGTGAAGAAGTTTTTCCTGATATCTAGTCCTGATAAACCTATTTTGCTGCAACTTCAATCTATTTGTCCACATCCTACTCACTGTGGGAAGAGAGAAAAGGGGTTCCATGTCCTCTCTTAAGTGCATTTTCTGCAGGATGAACATACCTATTCCCTTCAACCTCTCCCTAAATAGCCCTTAACCAAGAAATGCCTCAAAAGAGAGATCAGGGAGAAAGGAAGAAATGGAAGTTGCCATGAATAATTTTGATTCATTTTCCCTGATTGTTATTGGAAGGGGCAAGGCTATCACACCACAGAGTACAATAAGAACTAAAACATGTAAAGACTTAAGAATACACATATCTGAGAGGTTTTACTGGAAGCTGTGCCTATGGCTTCTATACCTAATTCTTCTAAGCATGCTGCTGTACTGTATCTAGTACAGGAGCCTCTGGTTCTCTGTAAGCCTGACTCCAATGAAACTAAATTGCTAGAATATTTTTTTGCCAGGACCCTCCCTAAGTAGAAATCCCATGACAAGGTAGCAACAGAGAGAAGCCTAAAATATAAAGAACTGTGGAATCCTGACTAGGGCCTGGAACAATATGCTATAAGCATCTGCCCATCTGAACTCCTGAGCTCTCTCTGGCCTGTCCCTGCCCTGCAACATCCATAATACATGCTGTGGTGCCAGTGGTCTCAGGGACTGGGAGGCTGCTGAGGCTGAAATGGGAAGATATCTGGGTAAAAGATCACTCGTATATGCAGATCTAGAGAGATGTGCTTACCCTCCCATTTTATTTGGTCTTTATTCAGGCAAAGCTCTCACTGAAGTCAGTGATGATCTGCTTAAATAAGGACTGAAGATAAACTGATTTACAGCCTCAAGATCTGTCCCCATTTTTATCTTCCTTTCTGACACATGTAACAACATATGAACATATTGTAACCGCAGCCATATATCTTGAATAAAGTCGGAACTAAGTTAGAATAGTTGACTCCCTTCCCAGCTTCAGAGATTAGCATCAATGAGCTGAAAACCCATTAGAATTAGTAAGATAAATTACACTGACTTCTGTTGGTTAAAATAAGCAATTCTCTCTTAAAAGCAACACTGAACTATATCCTGTATCACATAAGACCAGGTAAGCCAAAGTCATTGCTTTGACTTGTAGATGCCACCAAAAATTCAACAAAGCTTTAGAAAGCAGAGTTATCCAAACAAGGCTAGTGGATCTCAAACTGTCATTGCCATGGTAACCTATCATTAACTTTTTCCTAGCCATTGCCAGTTATACACATCTCTGGCTTTTGTTATTCAACACATTCTTTAAGGAATAGAAACTGTAGAGAAAAAAATAAATAAATTGCAATAATCTTAGCCCATACATACCCTCCTGTTCAGTTCTGGTCATTTCCTCTAGTTTCTTCTGTTTCAGTGTGTCCACCACATCAGCAAGGCTTCCTTTGCGGCGTTCTGGCGTTCCAAAATTAACACTGGTCATTAGCTCACTGCGGTCACGACCTCCTTCATCGGGCTTGTGTGGTGAGGTAGAGGTATTTCGGAAGGAATATAGGGAACATAACTTATTACTCTCTGACTCCTGCAAGGAAACAACATAGCGTGAAAACATAGGCTATTCTTTTATCTTAGGAAGTTCTTTATAAATGATAGTTGAAAGTATTTTAATATTATAACAAAGTGCTTTCAACAGCAGATTAAAAACTCTGTCCTTAAATGTCATGCTAACTGATGGTCCTAGTACTCATAAACCCCTTTGTTTCCAGAGTAAAGCCAAAATTAAAGTAGGCATAATCTCAAAAAAGGCTAGAATGACTCCATTTTGCTGGAGGACCTCCCTCTCAAAAGTCAAGATCTGTCCCCGCTTTTCAGCCTGCCCAGTTCACCCCTAACACAGAGTGTATCCTCCTCAAGGAGTGACAGGTTGTGAGAAGCAAGACATTGTCATTCACTTCAATGAATGTTTTAGGCCTCTGGAATTTTCCCAGTTTGCAAATTATAAACCCTTAAATGTAGTGTCAATAAAAAAGTGCAAGACAAGTCAGATAAGCACCAGGACAAATCTTCAGGATGCGTCATAGCACCCCACATCTCAAAAGAGGGACACCAATATATCCCAGCTGAGAATCTGAGCCCACTGATTTCAAAGGTTTTAAGAACATCATATGAATATATAGTATATTGAAACCAAGCACATGATACGTATCAATACATACTCATGTACTGGTCCTTCAGACTTTAGGTCCTGTCTTTTCCTTAAAGAAGAAAGATTAGAATTCTTCTGATATCCATTAATGGAAATGATTTTGCTGATAAATATAGACAAAATGAGCAAATGAGTTTTCTGGCAAAAGAAGTCGTGTACAATATATCAATATGTACATGTCTGTTAGAGTTGTGTGCTTCAGAAGTGTACAACTTACACAATGAAAATTACACACAGTAACATCAGTAAAGATGGCATCTTTCTTGGCAACTGATATAAATTAATGTTTTAAGAAGCTAAAAATTAAGTGTCAAAAAGCTGCTAACGTCTTCTTCTCATTACTCTCAATACATCACCCATCCTCAAACCCTTAACTGATTTGTTCTCTTGCTGTTTTAAACTCAGGTTCCTCAACCTGCTATTCAGAGTCCTTCTCTACATCTCTGTTCTCATTTCCTCTGTCTGAAAGGAGTACAAGGTATAGAGCTGAACTTCCAAAACTGTCCTTAGAGCCCCTTTACTCAAAATTCTCCATACCCTCCCCTTTCCTAAATTATCAGCCTGTGTCTGATATTATCAGTGTGGAGGGCAAAAACATTGCTTAGGGGAAAGGCACTCATTTCCTAAAGCATATTTTAAGGGTGTCAAGATTGTATGTCTAGAAAGTATATGTCTATGTGTAAATTTTCACTGATATCCAATAGATGTTCATTATCATGAAATGCTAATAATAACATACTCAGAATTGATGGAGGAATTATAAGCACTATCAAAACTCTTTCCCCCAATGCAATGCCATTGCAGATGCATACATTTGCAACAAACAATAGTACCCTGACTACTCTCTGAGCTGGAAGTGCCCAACAGAAGTAGCACAATGTAAACTGTTTGTTATGAAACTGAAATCTAGGGAAAATGGACAAGACTGAGTTAACCACAGTCAACATGATCTGATGTAAATCCCCACTCCAAATTTGAAGAGATAAAATACAGCTACAAAAAATAATAGAACAAGCATAAGTGTGGTAACTAAGAACCACGGACTGCAGAGAAAATGATGGTGAAAAACTGTCATCTAACAGTACAGTATACGCTCAACACAAAAGTATTACCACCATCTACAGAGGAAGTAGCATTTGTTAGCTATACTGAGAATGTATTCATTCATTTAGAAAGAAAACAAAAAGGAGCCCTGGCATCAGAACAGTGCAGTAGCACCCTTAGCAACATAGTAGGAGTGACAGAAGTCACATACAAGACATGGAACAAAGGTGACAAGGAACAAAATTTCTGCCCCTTATTTTCAAACTACTGGATACTAAATAATGTTTTGTGTGATCCGGTGTTATTCATGATAGGATGTCCAGTGCCTAGCTCTGCACCAACTGTTTGCAATTTCAATGCCCCTGTTCTGTGAAGTGTGTTCATTTTCTTGCTTAGGATGAAGATTTTCTTAGGCTGAAGGGCTCTGAACTTCCATAACAGCCTAGGGGAAAGGCACTCGTTTCCTAAAGCATATTTTAAGGGTGTCAAGATAAAAAGGTCATATTTTAACTTTTTCAAAACAGTTTCCTATTACACGTTGCATCCATGATGAGACAATACTGTACAACACAACTTCTGCCCATCTTGAAGCTTACAGTGTGACAGCTGTTCAAGCAATTTAAGAGGACATTCTTCAACAGAAAGCAAAGAAGAAAAATATGTTTCAAGTTAAACTGGCAATAAAAGAAATAAGTTTACAACATCCTTTGGCAAATAGGCTGTGCTACCTACGAGCTAAATCTTCTTCACAGAATACTGCCCAAATAACAGAACTGTGAGCTGGGAAAGATGAGAGAAGAATTATTCTCCATAGGCCGTAGACACTACTGAAACTTCAGGACTACAACAGCCCCTGCAGACACTGAGGGGCTCTCTAGATGTGCAGGTAAAGGTGCGATAGATTTTGATGTGCAATCTACACAATCGCACTTCCTGCTATGCTACATGCAAGTGTAATCTGGCAGGGGCCTCATTTCCATCTGCCTGAGAGTGGGGAATCAGCTAGTGAATTTGCAAATGGGCAACATTTTCTCTAGCCCCATAACCCTAAATAGACACCAACCTCTCTCAGCACAGCATATAGGGTTAATATCCAAAGTGGAAGATCTGCCTGGGGTTCCACAGGACAATATAACTTCACCTGAAGCTTATTCCCACAGTTTGGCTTCCAGGTTTTTCTCTTAAGGGCTTCTTCGTTTCTGCTCCTAATTCAGTCTCATTTAGAGCTTGATTGAGAGCCCAATGCAGTCCATAGGAGTCTTTCCATTGCATGTAACGGGTTTTACATCAGGGCTAAAAGCTCTATTTATTCCTCTAGGTTAAAGTCCAGACTGGCAGAATAAGTAGAGTTTATTCCTTTGCAGAGTGCTAGGATTCAACAGCCTACCCATCCTCTCTTGTGAATGCAAGCATGGATTGGGTCCTAGACAGATGATCCCTGGGCTGCAAGCCTCTCCAAATTCAGCCACCACTGGAAAGCAGATCCACTTTGGTTCCACTCCATCGCAAACCCAAAAACATATGTGCCCGCAGTGAAAAGGGAACAAATTTCACCTCTGTAGAATTCTTTTTCTACGTGCCTATAATTTACTAGCCAGAGAAAGAGTGAAAATCTTTGGGAGAATGAGAAAATGAATGGTTCAACTACATGAGTATTTTACAATAAGTTAATTTAGGAGAAAAATAACTGTTTTCCAGGAGTTTTTGATTCTGGAATATCTAGTACTGGGATCAAGAGAAGACTGATCTACTTGCTATTCCTGATCTCAACTGGCACCTTAAGAAACCCTGGCAAGGATGACCTTTTGAACCTCATTTGTCTCTGGAATTAGCAATAAGAAACAGAATGGCTGAAAAGTCAACTATAGAACTGCACAAACTGAAAAGTATTCAAGGGATTAAGCAGGCAAATGGAAAAATTGTAGGCCAGTCCAATGTAAATACCTTATCTAATAATAGCAAAATTATGTTAGAAAAATCTACATGGGCTGTAAATGCAATTTTCTGCAAGAAAAAAAAACACTCATTCCCATGCAATATGTGGGTGTGTCCGCACGAGCTGGAATGTGTGTTTCCCTGGGGACAAGTAGCAGCGGCACACCTTGTGCCGCTGCTACTTGTCCCCAGGGAATGCCTCTGCCACACATGCTCTGGCGCATGTTACCCCAGGTGAGGTAGGGGAGGCTGGGGCCACATGCAGTGCTAGCCCCCGCAGCGCCACCTGGGGTCCTGGGGGCCTCTGGGAGTGGCAGCCATGGCACTCCTACAGCAGGGAGCCT